TGTTAATATGGCAGGGGGAAAGTGCAGCATATATAGATTTCGATTTTAAAATTTTCTCTCACGTTCTGTCGAAAAATTTACATAGTATGAACGCAAAGTTTACCTAAATAATTTAATCAGAAGTATCTTAAACCACACGTGTTTGTCTTTGTTAACTAGTGGAACTTCGTTAGGAAAAGATGAGACATCGGCCTTGACATATTTTTCCTGATCTCTGATAATATTCTCAAGAGCGCCTTTCTCCATGGACAACCATCTTTCATAGTCTTCTCTTCGACGAAATAAATCAGCGTTGAAATATGGATGGCATTCGCTGTTGAAGATCAGTTGGAGTTCTCTCATCTCTCTCACTAATACCTATAAAAGCATCAGATTGAAATATCGTGATTTAGGCAACCTCGAAGTTTGTTCCAATCTAATATCTTATATAAAAATTTGTAACACAAATTTGTGCCTGTGACAAACTCTGCGAATTTAGGGATAAATCATTTGAGATGGGCAGCATTGGAAAATCTATTTGTGCTCAACAAAAAAAAAACTCCACTTCTTGAAATTATCCTTATCCCAAACTCGTTCCCACGCTTTTCCCTCGTAGGAGCGTAAAAGAGAGAGTCTGAGAAGAGTTTGAACGTGCCCGGGGTAAGACGGTTAAGCAACATACTGTATTCTATAAAAAAGGCCTTCAGGGATATACAACACTTCGTTCGTTCATAGATTTACCTTAGCTGGATCGTTCGTCACTACTTTTTCCAGTTCCCTCAAGTAATACTCGTGTCTTCTGTGATTGAGGCAAAACGCCTGACGAACTAATTCAGTCAGGTCTTCAGGTTCAATTTCAAACACATTAGATCTCCTGATCGGATCTCTCCCGTAAGACATGCACTCCTTCGACGCTGGACTTGCACTGAAAAACATTTGAAGTCATGATAGAAATGAGATATTGTGGCATCAAGCTTACGTATAAAACACCGAAAAATGTGTTCAAAAACAAGGCGGTGTGTTTAAAAACGAAGTTAGCCAATTTTTTCACATACTTTGATGTATTGCTTATTGTATATGCCAGTAATATACAGCTTACGAGTTAGTTATATCAACAGACTGTACTTCTCAACAGACTGCAACAGCAAAGAAAACAATAGTTTGCTTTGTTTTTGAATGAGGATTTGTGTACCATCCGTTATGTAATCATATCAACAGGGAAACATTGTCTTTCACATGCAATAAGTATCTACAATTGCTATTCTAGGATTAAACCAGAGGGATTAAACAAATTTATTGTGATTTGCGGGGTAAGAAAATCACGCTAGACACAACCAACACTCGAACAGCTTGGTGGTACTGCATTATTACCTGGAGTCGCTAAAATCGCTTGGATCACTTTGTTTTCCCACTGACTGATCAGTGATGTCCAGGGAATCATGGGATGATGCCAAGACAGGGTATTGAGCAGCATGTAAGGCGCATTCATAAATTTCTAATTCCTTGAGAGAGAAGAGTATCACAATAATATATTATATTAAGGGGGAGAAAAGCAGGAGAAAATTCCGCTAGTTTTCTTGCACTTGATTGAAGAGGCACATTCGGTTCAACTGCTGTATTTGGACTACACGCAAATTATATTTTCCTTGTGTGCATCTTTTGTGTCCTTGCATGTACATGTCTTCTATGTTCTTGACAACAGATGGACTTTTAATTATTTTGCGCAGTTATCTTTCATTTTAGCGCAAGCATATTTCAATTTTTGTGGGTAAAATTTATTTATACAATGCAGGCAGACCACATACTAGAGAGGACAGTTTGAAGGTTGCAACTTCAGACCCTGTCCTAAATGACTCTGGAAAGATTTTGCTTGCAAAACAAACAAATGAATGAATGTATTAAGGGTTGGTGAGTATGAGAGTTGATGAGATTTGGCAAGCAAGAGTTTGCAAATGAGAACAAGATCGAGTTGCATGAGAGTACGTTGACTGGATATACTATGTGGTGCAACTCTTGTCAACTCTCATCAAATTTTGAACCAGTTTAAATTACCTGAGGATGTAGCTGACTACCAGACTCTTTATTTGTCACTTCAGGTGTTTCACTTCCTAAATTCAGATGTCAATAAAGGAATACCGAATGGTTTTCCGTGCAGGATTGCGTGATCCATGCACGAGGGATTTCGCCAGACTTTTGGAAAGCGTAAAAATACTAGAGCCGCAGGCGAGCATATTTTTACGCTTTCCGAAAGTCGAGCAACTTTCCGAAAGTCGACCATCCCATTGGTGGGACACCCCTCCAATATTGTAATATTGTAGTTTCGTCGGGCAGGTTTAACAATTTCAACGACATGCTTGTCAGGCAAAAAATATGTAATTGAGCAAACAATTTTACATAATTTATTGAAAAGTAATAGTTGTAGGGGAAAAAAACGACGACGATTTTGAGAAACGATTTTTACAAATGTCTGTTGGGCACGACTTTGGCCACACCCTTTTGGTCGGGCAAAACAAGCTCACACCCCCCAGCCATAATCCCGAAGTTTCGGCCCTGGTTGTAAATGATCAAGCTGTAACAACTGCACAAGACAGAAACACATAAAAAAGAAACAAATATTTAATCATTATGATTCAGTGTGCAGAACAGACAGATTTCAGAAGAGCTTTTCAATAGGAAATGCTAATAACAAATATTTTACTGAATAAGTGATTAATACTGTTTTAATGTTTTTAAGTAATTAATTGTGTATAGTACAATTAGCCTTTCTCACGTGCCATCTAATTCTTGTTAACCAATGCAGACAATTAAAATAATGTGAAAAGCAATTTTTCAAAATAAACTAACCATTTACAAAGCAAATTTACCATCATTCATCCAAAAAATTATAAAAAGTCACTGTTATGTGGACTTATCTCACAAACTTCGGCTGAAAAGCCACCCAAAAATGGCGGTGTGAAAAAGGCTAATTGAGCTGACTTGAGGCTGAACCCAATAAAAATATCTATCTATCTAGCATAAGTAAGTATAATCCATTGGGAATCCTGTACCTGAATAGGGCATTCTGGACTGATTTTCAACCTTAACAATAATTAATGTACAGTTAGACTAAATAACAAAACCTCTGTCAGGAGCTTAAAATTGACTCAATCAAATAACTGAACTACAGTGCCGTAGCCAGAATGATAATTGGGGGTGGGGGGGGGGCACATATTCATATATTTGTGTTCACATATCATAAAAACAATTGATTTCAAAAGAAATTAATAAAGCAGAACACGAATATATGAATATGTGCCCCCCCCCCCCAATTATCGTTTTGGCTACGGCACTGCTGAAGTACAGTGTACAGTACAAATATAACAATGGAATAAAATGAAATATTCAAACATGCAAATGTACAAAACGTGGCTTGTACAGTAGACACTATTTTACAATATTCTCCAAACCTTTGATTTTAGCACTTTTAATGCAACAGAAAATGGGGAATTTTGAAACTAAATTTTATTCTATTTTTATCCCACATCTTCTACTACATTTCTTTTACTATGACATTCTTACCACTCGAAAATGATCTTCTATTGGACATGCAAGTTTCGTCAGGTACAGTCTGGGCCTAAAATGTTTGAACATTGCAATATATACTGAATATGATTTCTTCATCTTGTCAAAGCAAGTCACAAATGCATATAATTGAGGCAGGTTCAGTATGAAGGTTGGATGGTGATTTTTTCAACTGTTGTGAAATTGCTTGAAATGCTATAAAACTTTCTCTATCTATTTTACAAATAGCAAAAATGACCTGATGCTCAGGTTATGTCTAATATACAAGCTATAAATATGAACAATTAATAATAAAAAGAAACTCTGACACTTTGATTTACAAAATAATACTATATAAAGCTTAATATAATTTGTCTGGATTAATTACTAATGAAAAGAAAATTTTACAAAGTTTGAAAAAATCACTGTCTGAACCGGCCCCTGATGGTGGTCAAACAAAATCATCAACTTACATTAATTTTTTGAAGAAACTGTGAATTTCTTGAACTCCCTGGCCATGTCTAGGAAATGCAAATAAAATAATTTTTTACATGCATTTATTTTCTCATTTGAGTAATAATCCTAATAAATTTATGTTGAATTCCATATTTAGCTGTAAGCCAATCAGAATACACGTAGGGACTACAATGTATATTATTATTAACTATTAAATAACACAATTGACACTGACAATAATTATCTAAAATATTACATGTAATATAAATAATTTCCTAGCTACAATACACGCAATATTTTCTAAACTTGAAAGAAAATTTAATTTAGATATATTTATATTATACCAACCTCAATAAACTGGCTGCAATTTTAACAAGAGGGGAATTGCTTTCTTCCCCAGTCGGGTCCAAAGGCTTCCGAGAACCATCGACTGCATTGCAAGTTTGTTGAAAATACCTAGCTTCTTGAACTAAAATATTTCTCAGTAACTCATTGTCAACATCTGTTAATGTTGGCCTTGGCGTATACAATGCATTGGCATCCGTACTGGCCATTTTTGCTTGCTATATATAACAAATTTTCAAGTAACATCACCATATAAACTGATCATCTTGTGACCTTGTTCTTTTCTCTTGTATTTTGTTTTCGCATAACCACTGAACCCGCAAAACCCGCAGATTTCTGGGCGCATGGTCCTCACGGGGCTAAAATTGTTAAATTTAAAATTTGTTTCCAAAAACGCGTTGCAAGTTGCAATAAGTATAGTCAGAATCTAAGTTGATATACTCACATATGTTCGTTATGACTAAATAAAAACCAGCTCTGGCCATCCCTCTCCACTTGATGAGTAATATCGTCTTGCGTTAGACAGGGTATAATGGTAAACTACGAACAGAGGATTCACGGTAATTTTAAAATATTACTGTAATAACAACTATAGCCTATATACCATATCATGAACTCGTACAAAAATATTCAGATATTTATTTCTGAATCAATGTTAAATATATAAATACAAGCAACAAATGCCAGGTTATATAACAAATATTAAAGATACGTGATTACAAGGTGAAATATAACCCTATATATAATAACTTCTTTTTATAACATTTTCTCTATATTAGTGCACCAATTTCCTGTGGTTCATATAAACTACAGACATTATAAACATGCGAATATCAACGCTTCAAAATCGAAATTTCAAAGAAATATCGTTTTCGGTTTTCCTATATTAAATCTACTAGTTAGTTTTAACCATTGCCCAATTAGGTTATATATTTTCTATGTACAATATATTGACAATTGCAAGTTTCTAAGTACTTTTCACTTAGCAGCAGATGCAGGGAATGGCTTATTACGTCTTGAAGAATTCATAGGCGTAGAATACAGATTTCTAATATCTCTACCAATTAAGCTTTTTTTGATAATAGGCGTTACTGTTGCTTTATTCTTCTTAGGCTTCTTAGCCGTTGCAGCACGAACAGGATTGGAAACAGGTTTTTCCAGTTCTGAACTGGATGACGTTCGTCTTGGTTTGGGTGTGCAAGGTTTAGGAAAGTCACATGACGACTCACTTGAACTGCCGATCGTCTTCGTTCGTCGTTTTCTCTTGAAAGGATTTCGTATGCTGCTCATTGAAGGCGAACGACGGTGGAAATACCCGGATGGTGTTGCTGGCGTCTGTAAATTTATGACATTAAAATTTTAACCAAGTCTTTAATTGGTGCAGGGTTTTAGGGGGGTGGGACGGGGGGGGTGGGACGGGGGTAGGGTGGTGGTGGTGATAAATCACGGGGAAGAGTAAAACCCGGAATGGATGAAACGAGGTAAGAGTGCATGAGAGTTGGCAGCCATAACGCGGCCTTGGGTAGCTGTTCTTAATACCATACTTGAAATGCACCCTGTAACAATTAATTGATGACCGCCAACTCTGATATAAAATTAAACCACTAACCTGTGCTGCATTCCTTCTTGAAAGATCTCCCGTCTTGGCTGCCTGCGAAGAACATTCCTTGCCCGGAGTATGAAATGGTCTAAAATTGCCAGTAGGACTATCACACAGACTCTCGGTTTCACTCTTGTTCACAGCTTGCAATGGTAGCCGTCGGAAGCGAGGAGAGACGATCTTTGGAGCATTGAATGTTGTTTTATGTTCTTCTTCAGGCGGCTGTTGCAAAGAAATAAAGCGGTGTTAGACCTTATACAGCAGTCGACGTTTTTAACAGCAAGGCCACGACCCGTAAAAACTACGGCCGTTAATCAAATGTAGTCAGCAGCCCTTGCTTTAAACCAATGCAGTCATACTTTATGCGTACCAACCTTTTTCGTCTTTGGTTTAAATGGCGGAGTGCCTGGATAAAATTCTGCAAACTAGAAATGGAAGTCAAAACTTGCATGAGAGAATATTCTCGCACCGTATAGTTAAGGTAAAGGTATGGGGTGCAAATCATCTTTCCTCGTGACAAAGTAGGTGAGTATATGTAGGTGCGGGTGTGCTATAATCATCCTTACTCGCAGCTGAGAGCTAAGCTGAATTACGAAGATCGCATTGAAATTGAACAAATTACCCTTTTCAAAAACTGTCGTTTCATCGGTGTATCCTCCATAGCGGCCATTTGAGTGTAAAGATCAACTAAACCATCTGCTGTGTGTTTATTTCCCGTAGTGCTGTATAATCTCGCGTCGATCTGCGCACAGAATGGTTTACTCACAACCGCTTCATCCTAGGAAAACGAATATTAGAGATTAAATTTTGAATCCAGACTCAGCCAAAGTGGCTGTGGCAAATCTTAATTTTGGGGGCATATATTTATTCTGACGAAGTGATTTCACCCCATGTCAATGTTGTATTTTCTTTTCACATAGATGTTGCATGGTGTCTTTGAAAACAAAATCTTTTTCGCCATGCATTTAGCTTCAACATTTCGAATGCAGAAGGCCCTTCGTGTCGGGAAATTCGTAGCGAAGGGTGTTTGCTCAAAATGTCCAAATTCATATTTATATTACACGAGGTACTTAGATCCATAATCCTTCAAGAATACAGTATATCTTTTGCAACATATTTCAAAAACTGGACTACATCCTTCTCAACACTAGTCACTAGGCCATCAATACTAGTTAACTAAACTACTATAAACTAAAACTATTGAACCTAAATAAAATTTGAAACTAAAGAAAACAAAAGTCTGTAACAGTAAATTTAATAAAATAAAAATATAGTCATATAGAAGTATAATGTATAAACCTAAAACAAAACTACACTACACTACTACGCTACACTACACTACACTACACTACACTACACTACACTACACTACACTACACTACACTACACTACAAAAGTAATACCATGGGGGAAAATTGCTTTTTTCAAAGAACTTACTGTAAATAACTATAAAACAACGTTATGAAATAGGCTATAGACTGCATGCAAATACTGAAAATTAACTAGTAACCATGCTAACAGCCTATATATTCTGCTGTAAAGTATATTTTTACATCAAGCCAAATTAGGATAAGCAAAAAAATGAGTCGTATCTACTATCCTTTAAAAAGCACAGTAAGCACTGAGAGCATAGTGAGGTATGTCGCTATAATCACGGAGTTCGTCAGTAAATTGGGGCCGTCACAAACCAGTCCTATATATACAAGTGACTAAAATTTCAATATGGTATATTGGTGTACGTTTTTCTCGTGATAGGGGAATTAAGGTTAGCTAGCTAGTGATTAGGTTTCTCTGTAATATTAATGCGCAAAGGTTTTTCAAGCTTTCAATGGCCAGTCAAATGAAACTGGATAACCATGGCAAACAGTGGATTGTGAAAGGGTATATACTCGGTGATAACCCTTGTGGTGATGTTTCATCCATAACATATATAAACACAATTTTCCCCATGGTAGAACTTTCTAATGTTTCTAACTCGATCATTACCTTGCGAGTAGGCGTTGCAGGTCTTATTACCTGAGCAAGATTGTTAGATTTCTGATTCTCAATCTCTTGAAGTAAATCATCAGGTATGAGGAATATCTCTTTGACATGTTCAATCATAAAGGCTAAGGCTGCAGTAAATGTCGTTATATCTTCAGGAACTACGCTTAAACATGACGAAGATTTCTGCAAATTCAAAACGAAACACTGTAGTTTATCCATACAAAAATGCCAAATCGTACTTCTAGTTGAAATTAGGGCCAATATCCAATCGGACTGCTTTCGTCGCAAGTTAAATGGATTCCAATTAAGATTTCAATTTCTATTGGAATGACAATTGGTTTGTGACTGAACTACCTGATATATGAAGAGACTTCGCTCATCACCCCTATATTATAGGTAAATTCTACGTTTTGAAGGATTTGCAAGAAATGTTTGAGATTCCTACAAATCCTCCAAAACTTAGAATGTACCGATGCAAAATTCCTACTGATAGTGTAAAAGTTTCTTTGATAGTGTAAAACTTTGATAGTGCAAGCTTTAGTTTTTTAGGTAGTTCAGACATTAATAAATAGCAGTGCATTTTTTAAGGATTCTTCAGTGGTGGGGCAAAACTGCCAAAGGGCCCATTTTCCTTGCCCTCCCCCAGCATAGTATGCGATCGCCGAAGGTGTGAGCAGAGTACCGCAGGCACGAGTTAGCTAGGGGGGTTGAAGGTGGGGGGCATGTCCCCCGAAGGAAATTTTTAAAATTTGGGTCTCTGAAATAGCATTTCCTGCATTCTGAGAGTACATTTTAAAAAAATCTCAGCTTCTCAAAACAAAGTTTTAATGGTGAAATTTGTAATAAATTGCATGCTAAACATTCAAACATAACATAAGTTTAAGTATATGCTCACCAACATGAGCTTTGGGGCAATAGGCCATTTTTTTCTTCAGTGGTGGGGCAGAGGAAGGGGCCCAGTGGGGCAAATGCCCCACCAGTCCATGGTATTAAAAAATGCCTTGATAAATAGTCCAATTATAGTCGAAGTAACAGTGAAAATGTTTAAATAGTGTACGTGAAAATGATCTAATTTGACGCCAATTCTCCATTCTATGCAGTCACTGATAAGTATTTCACTTACATGTTTGTACTGAATAACACTAGGCGCGAACACCAAAGCGAGGCTGCACGCGCTCATCTTGTTCTCCTTAATATTCGCGATTTCATGAAGTAGCTCCAGCAACTGCTGCAAGAGATGTCGATTGGCAGGCGGAATGAGAAGAAATAATAGCTGCAATGCTTTGATCTGTTTATCTTCATCTCCAAGATCTGTCAGGAAAATACAAAATCGTCAATGAATTTGCGTTAAGTTGCGGTATCAGTGAGCCGAGTAAGATATACTTAAGCTACATTTGCACACAACGATTAACTGGGGGCCGATTTACTTTTTTTTGGAGGCCAAACATTGATAGAAATAAGTAAAAAAATGGATGCTTGTAAGGCTTACCGCCTATTTGCATATGGACTTTTATATGAGCGCTGGTAATGATGGGCTCTGGTAACTCCGCGAGAAAATACTTCAGTATGGAAGCAACATCGTGCTCCGTGAATGTGTTAAAATTGATTTCTATATCCTTGTCCAATAAATGCTTGAGTTCATCCTGTCGTTTCTTGCTGCCGGAAATACGAAAAATTCCTTCAGCTGCCACATCTGTTAGAAGTAAAAAGAAATGTCATGGTATTAAAGCATGATGGTTGCTGTTCAACTGTAGTTGTTTATATTACCCGAGGGCGCCAAGACGGGAGATCGAAGCAGTGCATTTAAAATATATTACACTTTATTGGATATTATCCTGCACTAACGCATGCAGCTAGGATTTATATTCTCAGTTATAAGCAATCTTGTATGAAGAACTTCGAGCGAGCCTTTGTTGCTTTGGCGGCCTCTTTTGAGCTGTGGCAGAGAGCCCCTTCCGCTGCCCCTGACCTAAGCCTATATATACACGCATGCACGCCTGGCTTCAAATTGCTCCAAAACGTGGTGTATTTTTTTGTTGATAGAATCCGAACAGTGGACGGCAGTGCACACAGATAGAGACGACAACAGTGTGAAATTTTCCCGATCCACGCTATCAACTTCCCAACGCGGGAAACATCGAAGTTCTGGCACAGAATAGAAACTATACAGAAGCCAGACCTATGATTTTGGCGTAACCGTAATTCGCCATCAAAATGCTGACGCCATGGTCTTATAGCCAGTGCGCTTATGAGAGGCATTCAACCCCCTGATAATATTCAAAATAGCAGACGTCCAGGGGGGAAATGCCTCTCATGAGCGCACTCGCTAGGACCATGGCGTCAGCATTTTGATGACGAATCATGGCGTGGCAGCGGTTACGCTCTTTTTTGGCTGAGTCGACCTTCTGTGCGTCTTTATTCTATATGGTTCTGTTTAAATTTTTCAGGTAGCTGTATATATCCGTCACAATGCAGTTGTCTATTTCTTTGTTGTCTGGGTCAGGACTCGAAATAACGTTTCCAAGGTTCCCGATCATGGTGATCAGCAGTCATGATTTTCTGCTGATCAAATGAAAATCCGACCGATCAGTATAGGATACGTTGTGTTTATATGTTCTGTGATAATGCCGTAGTATTGCATGGTGTTCGTTAACGACATTATCGGCATCTTGCCGATCAAGATGATCGGCAACCTTGCTTCTCTGCCAATCAAAAGCAATTTCCTGCCGATCATTGATCGGCCGTTATTTCGTGCCCTGGTCTGGGCATTATTTAGAATGGGTTTAGTCATATATAGTGAATTGAATTCTACGTGACGTTACGATACGGTTGAAGTGCAAACCGTGCTTTATAACACTCATTAAATATGGGGTCCATTATTAAACAAACCGTCAAGTTATAATTGGTGTGACTGAACAAAGAGCTCTGCAGAAAGTTCAAAATTATCCGTTTCTAAAGCTTTTTTAAGATCAGTCAATAATTGTTAAGAGGTTCCTGAAAAGGCTACACTTGATGTGCTGACGAGTGGTAAAAAGAGGGACGAATTAAATTCCACTTACGTTTCTTTAAGAAATCGATGAGCACTGAAATTCTGTGAACGTTCGCCTCACTCAGTGGTTGATTGAAAATTGGCGTTGGTCCTAAACCAACAAAAGATTTGAGATAAGCTTTCGCATTGCGCTTGTTCCCAGTTGCTGACAAGTCCGGAATAAGTCGCCATCTTGCAACAAGGTTAATGAGGCCAACAGACTCGCAACAAGTTGTTCCAACAAGTCACGTAACAAGTTGTTTACAAGTTGATGACAACAAGTTATCGCAGCAACTTGTTACGAACAGCCTGTATTAGCAAGTCTGTTACTCGTTAGACGTCAAGCTCGGATGAGAGTCTGTGAAGGTTGGCAGTCACATGACCATTCTTTCCACTCTTTCCCAACCTTTATCAACCTTGTAACAAAGTGATAACAACTTGTTCGAGACAACTAGGAACAAGCAGTACAAACACGTCCTGATTGATGATGTGCTTGACAACAACCTTGCAAATACATGCAGTCACGATCTTTCTCAACGGCCAGTTTATAATAGTTTCTACCTGTAAGCCACATATAAGTCATAAGTATTCTCTAGTAACAATCACTCCGCGTATTTTCAGTTCTAAAATGTTGTATTTCGGTTGATGAGAAAGATCGTAACTCAATCTTTACGACCGTTACGACCATATGGAAACCAGGCCGGGTTAACCGCAACTTGCGCGTTTTTACGTCTGCATGCGTCACCGGGCACATCTCACCGTACGACTCACGTGAACAAATGGAACCGGACGAATTTACTCGTCAGAAGAAGTCGCTAAAACCAGCAGAATAAAATGAAACAAAAATATTGGACAAAACTCACCCCGTAGATTAAGCGTATTTTTAACACCCCCTTGGGCATTCACAAAGCTATATTTTCCCTGCGATTTTCTCCACACTTTTTTGTACTTGTAAATTGCTTTAGTTAAATGTTCATCAAGAAACAACACAGTAGCAGTGTCATCACGGTGGTCAGGCATGTTGTCACAGTCAAGCGTTTAATGAACTGATCTCAAATCATCATACTGCGTTTTAAAGTGATAGACTATTTAAAAGACAATCAAGGCGTGACTACAGCCCATTAAAGCTTAAACAATTGACCATGCTTTAGAGTTTGTTGATTTTGTTCCTGTAAAGACACTATGGAGGAAAAGGCATTGTATAACCAGAGGCCACCCTGGTGTTTAAAATAATGTTTAAACTGCTGATTGTCTCATTTTAGTACATAACAAAACGGAGGATGAAAAAAGATGAAAATTAACTCAGTTTATAAATTCAAGGCTAACCTCAATTTTTTAATCAGTTATAATATCAACTATCTCAGAATATATGTGCTTTCACAGATCTTTAAGTTCCCATATGTAACAAGGAATTTTGTATATTTCTCAGATTTAGGTTTACTGTTATATAAACATTAATATTACTCCACCCAAAAATTCAAATACATAATTATTTATATTTAATAAACTTGACTGATCCCAGCTGTTGTGAGCTAATTATGGGGAAATGATTCCAATGTTTCATTAACATATTAATGATATGTATTTTGTCATTCATAAGTTTTATAAAATATCATCTAAACTACTAAAGTCTCTAAACTACAGTAAAGTGAATTTATTGCTAATTGAATCATACCCCCCCCCCCCCCCTTTTTGAGGGGGGGGAAGGAGGTTTTTGCAAAGC